ATGCTGCTTAGACATTCGCTACTCAAATATTCCTAGGATCCCTCGGCTTGTGTGTTTGGTCCGTGTGCGAGTATTCACAGACGAGACCGAGGACGAGGCGCTAATACGCGCGTTTATGCGCCTACCTACGACCGAGCACGAGCTTAAGCCACGTTCTCACGTCGAGCAGAGAAAGTCGGCGTTTCACGCGAAATCACCGCGTGCACCGATCACCAATTCATCGGGGAACTTTCGTTAGTAAATGTGACTAATCGGTTCTATCATAAATTTCCACCTATATGGCTCGCGAGTGTTACCTGATAATTAATAAAACCACGCCAATATTGATAGGGCTCGAGTATATTAGTTTAATCATCATTTAATTATCCCACGCCGGATACGATACTGTTAATTAATTATAGACCGCGCGTTGCAAAACGCCAGAACGTGCGTACCTTCCCACGTCTCGATATTTCGTCCAGCTTTTACCGTCTCTCTACAGACAAGGCGAAAAAATGCCGATAGTATGTCGATTCCCAGCGCCCTACAGGCCCACGTACTATTTTCAACTTGCATTGTTTCATTGCAATTGGCCGAATTGCAAATTCTTTCATTCCGACGCTTGAAATTTTTATTCTCACTCGATCAAGTTACGATCGGTATCGTGCAAACAGATCATGAAAGGAAATGAGGCGTTAGCAATCGTACGAACGGAATCGCGAGACTGTGTAAGACGAACGACAAACGTTCAATTCCGCGCGCGCTAATGGCCACCTCTCGCGGTCACGGCGAAGTTTCGGTGTGAACACGGCATTAGGACGCGGAGATTCGTATCGAATCCCGCACAGAAGGCACACGGATGAGAACGCGCGCGCCGATACATCGGCATAACGCATTCTACTGACTGCCAACCACCTCCTGCGGGTACAGAGAGCTTTTTAGCAAACTGTCAAACTCTGCCGAACCACGAATTACTCATTCCAGCACGTATCCCGATGCAGTCCCCCACTGCGCGCACCATTCTGGATCAAAGACCCGGGGATATACCCCGGGTTCGAAAATTTGGAAATATCGATCTTGGTCAGCGACACGTTCGAGAATTGGCGAACCGCGCGGATGAACGAGTGAATGGGGAAGATTGATTGACCGATAGATGAGGCTTGGTTAGAATACCGATCGCGGGCCAATTTGCGTCTAGTTCGCGTTACGATACGTTTGGTACTGCCTCCTGTGACTCTCGTACGCTGCGATTTCTACCACTTCCTTCCAAGCGAATCATTCTTGAGGATTTAAGAGAAATTAAACTACAATCGCGTTGATAACAGGAGAGACTTCATTTCGAAAGATCTTTTTATATTGGTAAGAAGTACATCCTTTTAAGCACTACTGCGTAAAAGTCTCTAGTTTTTGCTTGTGACATCCAGTGTTTCAGCCAGTTTTTACAAAGTTTACGAAATCGGATTAAATGCACAGAAAAAGAAGTAGAGAAATTGATAATATAATGTACCTTGTAAAACCCTTGATACAATGGTATACTATTTCTAGAATATCTTGTCAAATTTAAACTTGAAGGAATCTGCCACTATACAGACTTTCGAGTAGGTATACGAATGTACGAGTATTGAATACTGAATCACAAAAATTGCACTGTAAGATATTCAATAATCTCTTACTTTAATATTCAATAACAACTTTTAATTGAACGTAATTTTTTGTATGAAAATTACGCTCTCTCGATCTAAATGAATTGAAATCAATGAGCGAATGCAAGGAAGATGTAAGAAGAATCTCTTTATGCTTGATTACAAACTATGAAAAACAATAGAAATGACGTTATTTCAATTCTCGAAAATCCACCAGTTCGTGCTACCAGTGGAATCATAATGCCACTAAGTATGTATTCAAACACCCATAACCGCGCAGCAATGTCACACATCACAGAGGCACGCATACCATTCTCATCATGCATTCCTTGTCGTACGATAGATACGAGCCAAAATGTCGCTATTCCAGGGACTTTGAAACTACGATGACCGCAATTCTGACGTTTCCATTTGCACGAGGTGGAAAACAGTGAGTAAGCGACTGGCAAACTGTATAAAATAAATTACAATTTTCGAAGAACTTCAGGCATTCGAGAGCCCTTAACAAATCGTAATAGCATACAACGTATTCAGCACATCACGTTTACGTTTATGATGAAAGGAAATCAAATTTACTTGGCAACGTACTGACGACGAACTTCAAGAACAGAGGGAATCGAATGTCGTACAATTTAACAAATACTACGTACATATAAAATACTAATGGGATAATAAAGATGGACTCTCCACGGAGTATTGTAAAATACATTACGAACCTGCTTCTAACAGAAATGAATGCAACTCACATGTACAGAATTTACGCGCCACGAATAGTTTCATTACCGACCCATGTATCGAAGTGTAGCGACCTCTACTTCGAAGAATTTAGATCAACGACATCTATGTTCCGTCGAGATGTATATTTAATATAAACAATAGAGTATTTAAAAATAGCTATTAATTTTATTATCACCATGGAAATGTTTACTGCCACTTATATATATTGTAGCCATAGTAGAATTCTTCATTCGTTATTTCGTCATTTCGTCATTTNCATTAAATTATTAGTAATTGTATATTTTGTGATATTGATAATATTTTTATATAAACAACTAAAATTAATTACGGAGTTATTTATTTATAGTATTGTGATATAAATATAAATTATCATAATCACTATAGAAGATGCAATAGTGGCGACCCTCCACAGTTAACTATGCAAACTTAATAAAATACAGAACAAGAATGTTCTCCTAGGATACATTTCGATAACTATATCGATAACTATAGAAAATTTAAAATCTATGTCAGATATCTATATGAAAAGATCCATGTTCCTATTTGGTAGAAATTTTAAAAATAAATTCCTTTCCAATAACAAAATTATCAAGATTACCATTTTCCTGCCATACACGACATTATCGATTCTACTTAGTATTATTGACTGTGGTAATAATTTGCGTTACAGTTCCCTACTACATCGATCATCAATCTTATCATAGTATTATTTTAAACGGTCTAATTCACACACATTATATACATATTCATATACAATTAATGTAAAAAATATTCTATACTAATACATTACCTGGGTATAATAATGGTATGGTTATAATATGCTCAGGGTTTAAGTTCACAAAATATTCAACATAATATAATAGTATGCTATGGTTATAATAAATATTATATAATAAATGTTATAATAATAGTATGCTATGGTTATAATAAATGCTCAGGGTTTTAGTTCACAAAATATTCAACATAATATAATTTGTTATCTGTGTCTATTCTGACTTTTCGTGCTACGATATGAATAAGTGACTAGAAGAACAAAAGTGTGTTACTTACAATTTGATGTGAAGAACGTCATTAATGCCGTGATAACCCCTTCGTTTCCCCAGAAGAAGCCGTTCTTGAAAGCTATCATCAAAAATATCAACATTTACATCTATTGACTTCAATATAATTGATTTAATTTAAAATAAATATATACGATTTAAATCAATCGTTAAACGAAACCGAAATCAGATTCTATGTCAGAAGATTGTAATGAAAACTATTTACAACTATGACACTCGAATAAGCAATTGAGCAAAGTTTGATATACTATTTAACTTGGTTATAATAAACTCTAATAAATTATTAAATTAACGATTATATAAATTGTATAAATAAAGTTTCTAAGATGTAATACAATACCAATAAAACTCTGTGTAGTTGAAATTGAAAACGTTAACGGTGTAACACGTATTACCGCCATGTTGTCCGGTAGACGACTGACAGCTTCCCGCCAAAATGTTGCAATGCTACGATCCGATTGGCTGACGCGGGTGGTTGATCTTGTAAATAAGTCCGCGAAAAATTGAATCGCCGTTGTGTATTGTGTTACAAGTTTTCTCATTTATTATACCATGAAACAGTTTATTTAAATAATTTATACAGATTATTATTTAAAACAGCATCTGAAGTAATCTCAAATACGTTTTCCCATATTTGATACTGTAGAGTAAAGAAGTTTTTATTTTTTCCAATTTACGCAATATATTTTCATTCGAAATGCGCGCGCAATAATTTTAATATTAGTAAAGATTACAGCGCCATACGGTGAAATTTTGCAATTAAGTATTACGATTCTTAAACATAATCGATATTGTAAAATGTAAAACCACCAGGTTTAGGAGGAAACGTGACAGGAAACGTAGTAAGAAGCTGCTTATTCAGATATTGTCAAGTAAAAACTAGTGGTGATACATGTTTTTGGATTATCAAACACATTTACAATTTAAGACAACGAGCATTATTTGAGTAGCATGAAAATAGTTTATCTATATGTATTATAAAAAAATACCTTAACAACATTAAAACTAAAGATACAATAATTTAAGTGTGTATATGAAATCGATGCCTAATTAATACTAAATACTGAAAGTCATTTTTCTAAAATATGTTTTTCGTGATACAGAATAGACCTGACATCTTGTGGAAATTTGTGTCAAACGTTCTGAATCGACATGGTAAACATTATAGGCTTCTAACAGAGACACAGATTGCGCTGCAATACAAAACCTAAATCGATATGGTAGGATGTGATTTGAAAATGTTAAGGGAGTCTACTGACCCCCAAAACGAGGTATATCTGGATGTGTTTTATTAGCAAATAATAAATCAAAAGAAGAAAACTTCTGTTACCACATGTGATAATATTATACATCTGTCGACCAGTTAGAAATTTCAGAATCTTCGTATGGTATTCTCAATTCAAGTAGTGTATAAAGTAACTTCTGCAATCATGTATACGCATGTCCTGAACTTCGTCAAAATTTGTTTGATCGATAAATCAAATATTTGAAGAAACCTCGTAGGTTAATGGTTTGAAAGTATTTCTTGTAAATATCTAGTGATATATACACGCTTAAATATATTCTAAATTTTTAGAACATGAGTGTCACGTGTAAACAGGAATCCAAAAAGCAAAACGACTGCAGAAGTAGGAAGATCACTGGAAAAAGGTATTTAATTTTATGAGAATCGCCATGAATACATTTCTCAAAATTTCATTTGTAGATGGGAGTATCCCATTCCAAAATCGAAGGATTACTGGGAGAAATTTTGCGACGATGAGGAGAAGAAATTGGTCGTAGTAAGAAATCCTCCCCTTCAGTTATCCTATCGTTCCCTTTCCAAAAATAATACAGACTTTATTGATTTTAATTCAGATGTTCAAAATAAAGTATCCAATTGGAACTCTTTTTCTAACTCTCGTTCTGACGATCAGAAAGCACCCGACAGTTCTTTGCACAGATTGCTTCCCATATTAAACAAAGATTTGGGTTTTGATGACGCGAAATCATTTCCAAAACCGATATTAAAGGGATCGTTTCAAGCTGGTTTAAAAAGTTCGGATACGACGGGTTACTTTGCTATACCATCTAAAGTTGTACGAATCCCAAAATTAGCTACCAACGATCCTCAACCTAGTTCCCGTAAAATTCAGCCTAAAGAGGATCATATTCGGACTTCTTCCCGTGTCGAAAATGAACCGAAGATAGAAGGAGAAAGTTTCTCAAGTTTTCCGATTCTCGATACATACCCGACGATGTCAGAACTGCAATTAAAACTAAAGAAATTTAGAGACATTCAGAAACATTTAAGATTGTCAGATGGAAAGCTCTCTAAGACTAAAGATCGATCTTGGCTGAAAATTGCTAAAGCAAATGACAAGGATTGGTCTAAGTTAAAAGAAAATGAAAAAACATTGACAGATGAAGATTCCTTAATGTATTCCGCTCGTTTCGCTTACAAAGCGTTGAAGCGTTTAACGAAAAATAAAACTCTCGATTTCGAATTCAAACCTTTTGACAACTTACAAGAAGAACCGGTTCTTAAATCAGGAGACTATTCTTTGGCGAGTGACGATGGAAGACAAGAGTTGCCAGAAATTAAACGAATTGAGAAAGGTAAGCAAAACGAAAAGCCTTTAAACGTTCATGATTTGCAAGCGATTTCTGAAGAGAAATCGCTCGAGGATTCAGAATTTACGCACACTGACGTCAAATGTCCATCTTTGAAATCCGACGATTCGATTTCGAGAACCATTCCGACGGAATCGCGTTACACATCGGGACCGAGTCCAGTGTTCGTGTATCCGGAGGACTGGGAAAGTCCTTCGACTCGTATTCTATCGTCGATTCCAAAATTATCAGGCTTCCCAAGGAAGAATCGTGAACGATGTTTACCGTGTATGTATAAATCGTTCGAAACGCCGTTAAAAAGGAAAGTATCCCTACCGAGAACCACTTTACAAAGAATCATTGCAGAAAGCAGCGGACTGACGTCGCCTGAAGATTCGTTGGAGGATAGCGACTCCACTTCTGCGAGCATACCGAACTTTGAGGACGAAGTGGAAAGACTTCTGACCGACGAAGTTGAAACGAATGACGTTAGACTCGAGTCCGACGTTGGATTTGTGGAATCCGATGCCTTTGAAAATGAACTCGCAGTCGCGGGGGCAGCTGCCCTCCTCGAAGAGGAACGAATACAGAAACAACTAACGGGCGAAGTGGAGCAGAAAAGTATTTCAAAGCCGGAACCTCCGTCTAACGTGATTACGAAGAAGGGCAAAGAGGATCGGCGAGACGATGATACAACTACGACGAATCTGAACGAAGGTAGGACAGGTCTTACGACGCGTGTTACATCTCTGGAACGAGCAAAGGTTCGCTCTTCGTCTCGAAGCGTAAGCTCCGAGGAGGACGATTCGATTGTCGTTTCGGTCAGCGACGATCAGCCTAAGCCGAAATATTTAGTACCCTGTCATGCCCCCACAAATTTCAGGCCGAGCTTGGAGCCGTTGCGAGCTTTGAGAAACAGAAAACCGACGACTCTGCAGGATCGAATTGCGTTGCTCGAGTCGGCATCCTCGAGGAAAAGCTCGTCTGCCGACAATTACGGCGACATTCCAGAAAACCCAAGAGTCGTGTCTAAAGGAGTCCTTGAGAAAGACAAAATAGGCGACGAGAAGAAGTCAGTTCCGCCTCCTTTAACAAAAGCGAAGTCTGTCCTGGAAAAACTGATGCTCGGGGAAGCGGAAGCAGGCACGGAAAAGCAACGACACGTCCTCAGAAAGGAAATCAGCTTCTCGAGCTTTTCTGTATCAACAGACACGGCATCCAATAGCTCGGAAATATATCGCGACGCGTCAAAGGACGCATTACGAGAATTGGACGCGACTCGTGACGATGGCCTTTTAAAAACGCTATTCGCCGCTGATTTCCCAAGAACTCGGGGGAAATTGCCGCTTACGCAGCCGTGCGAGATCGCGGAAATTTTGAATGATCTCGGGGAGGACGTTTCGCCGACGGGCATGTTGGAGATCTTGTGCAAAGAATTTTCGGAACGCTTAAAGAAGACTCACGTCGTTCACGACGACTCGAACGCGAAAGAACGTAATAAGATGATTGCGAATCTGACAAGATTATTAGTCGATTCCAAACGTTATTTGCACTCTGACAGATTTCCCTCTGACTTGGTTTTTTCCACCGATCAGCCACCCACGTGTAATTCCCAACTCCTCCGGCGGGTCCTGCCTCTAAACACTTACAATCGCGTTGCGCCTTTGCTGGGAATGACGGAGTATTATCCGAAGAAGAAGATAACCAAATTCGAAGAATTACCGATGAAACTTGATGAAATCAGCCGAGTGCAAATCATCGACGAGACATCCACACAGGACAGCTTAGTGGTACGTACTGCATTAGTTTATTTGTTTGTGAGAGAAAGCAGACGTTGGAACGTTCTCGCGCTGCGAGCTCGCTATTTATAGCTCAACAAGTTGCTCCACTTCGATTCATCTTTTTAAAGATAGCCTTTTTTTTCTTTTTATAATTATCAAGGTGCATCCACCGACACTGAGAGACACCGAATCGCCCGTTGACCAGGAGAAACTGGGTCGTCGTAGATACAATCCTTACGCTCTATTTCTGATGAAACCAAGACGAAAGGTGCGATATCGGACTGATAGCAATAGAGTAATCATCTAACGACCGAAAGCGGCGAAAAGAGAGAAATAAAAAAGAAAAAAGAGGAGAGAAATAATATCTTTACATGTCAGGTGGTTACGTGGCGTCCTTTGACGAAACGCGATCTCGAGGGCTACGATCCGGAAGCTACGCTGAAAATGAGAGCCGACAACTCGATGAAAAGGATATGTCAGGACTTCTGCCAATGGATCGAGACTTTAGGTGGGACGGATAACACCATCGACGAGGAAGTTCTCAGGGATATGTTCGAAATCGATTTCAGCGCCGATGCTTGCAGGGCGACGCAGGTTAAAGAAGAATATCGTTTATTTGTTACGTTGCGCTTCTGTTGAGGCAGCCTTTAATCTATCTAATATTTACCTGTCTCTCAAGAACGATTATTCACGGCGCCGAACAATCGGAGAATATTTAATTCTCGTTAAATATCGGCGACAAGTCTCTAATTACTTTGAACAGCACGTCTCGGGCAGAAGCTTCCATTTGAATCTTGCGAAAAGTTTGCTCAGCTGTTTCGCTTAATTGCGTCCCGCCGCTTTATTCCTCGTTTTCATCTTTCCTTGTTTTTCTTCGGAACAGATGTCGATTCAGGAAATGCCAGTAGTACCCGCGGAGGTAGCCGTAACGAGAAACACACCGGGCGCGAGCAAACTCGCGATGACGAAGAAGCATGTGATGAAAGACGCGAAAGCGGAGGTAACGCCGGCGAAAATAAAAGCCTTTGGCACCGCCCTACCGTGGAAGCTTCGATTCGTGCCGCCCAATAATCAGGTGCAGAAGAAATGGCTGCAATGCGAGAACGTGCCTAAGGATATTGAAACGATGGAGGTCGTTTGGAAAGATATATTGGATCTGAGGAGCGTAAGAGGTTTCGTGGAATGGCTTCAACAGCATCCGGAGGTAACCACGTTATTAATCTTATGATGAGATTTCCATAGATATCGATCAGTTCGGTATTAACAGGCATCGTCTTGAGATGCTTGTTCTCCAATTGACCTTTGTAACGTGCGATGCTATGCTAGAGACGATGGATAATTATAGCCACTATAACATTCCTACCGGTTGCACCTGAATCCTCTTACCTATCGTTACAGATACCACAACCGGAAGCTTTGGAGAAAATCGCATCAATGGATATTAAAACGTTAAGACTGATCGAAGAGGACGAGACGTTCGCGCACCTTGAATTGGATATCAATCAAATCAAGAGTCTGCGAGTGTTGATCGATGGTGACGACGTCTCGATGTAGCGCGCGCGTTTCGCTCCTTTCTGCGTCTTTCTCTGTGTGCCGTGCGAATATTTATTTGCCTGCGAGCGTGCAAGTATTTCATGCTACGTGAAAGGGTTTACCCTTTTACACCAATGCGCCGAAACGAAATTATTCCAATTTCCGTTAAACTTTTATGCTCCTCTCTCCGTCGCTTCTCTTTCGGCGCTGTTTAAATCGAACCGATGCATGAATATTTTAATTGCATTTGATTGTGCTGCAGTAAATGTCGGGCGAATACAAAATGAGCATCAAAAATCAACGGTGTCTGGGGCCTGGTCCGCATTTCACAATCTCTCGCCCCCGTTTCGCTTATAAATGAATGAAATGCGTGCGTGTAACCGATACGACCAGCCGATGATACGACGTCAAAAGCCTTCTCTCCCACCTCTGTCCCGTTTTGCGTACGAAACGAAGGGTTAACTTGCGAAGCCTCAACGCGGACCACCATCAACGCGGGGGGGGGGGGCAGCGAGAAATTTCGCAGCGCGCCGGTTCGATATCATTATTTGTTCGAATATTGAGCAGCGAGAAGCGATTTCAATCGGGCTGCAAAACGAAATATCGGAAGAGTTATAATATCCGAGGAGCGAGGAGCGACGGCCCGGTTATTTTCATCATCTGCTACGGTTGCAAATAAATTCCCCCCGGTATTTAACGTGAAATATCGCAACGGTAAACAGAATTTTGAAAAACAAGAAACGGCGGCGAGATAAAAAATATATGTGTGTGTGTGTGTGTGTGTGTGTGTGTGTGTATGTATCGAAGGAGAAAAATAGGATTCCAGAGCGATTCCTATTGGAGAAGCCGATGATTAACGGACGTTCCGTTTGCCTACTTTACGCTGGCGAAATGAAAACGAAGGCGACGCTTTCAGCAGGACGATAATAAATAGCAAATAACACGATCCGATGTCAATCCAACCGGTTCCTTTGACCACGAACGAGAATCGTCCTCGTTGTCGGTGTCAATAGTTGCGCGAGCGACATAATACAAACGAGGCGTCGAGGAATATTGGAATTGGAAACGTATCGCAGAAGCCGGGCGTTCCTGTTGCCGTCTGGCAACGACAGCGCACAGGGACGCGGCACAGAATCATCAGCTTAATGCCGGAGCTACTTAAAATCAAACCGGGAGAAAGAAGCTACGAAGTTTCGTTTCGTTTCGTTTCGTGTCGTTCGTGTCGTTTGCGATTTATCCTCTCGTCGTATCTCTCTCGTCGTGTTGCTTTTTCTCTTCTCGACGAGTCGGCGAAACGGGGTCGATCGATTCTCAAAAATTCTGAATAGCCGATTGGCAAGATTTTTCAGAAATCACCGTATCACCGTTGCTTTTCATACGTGAGTCGCGACGTTCTTTGTGCTTCCTTTTCAAGGGATTTCCCGTGAGATAATATCCACAAGAAAAAGAAAGAGAGAGAGAGAGAGAGAGAGAGAGAGAGAGAGAGAAAGAGAGAAAGAGGGGCTAGAAAGTAAAGGAAGACGACGAGAGAGCGAACGAAGGAGACCTTAAAAAAGAAGCAGAAAGGGCACCGAAAAAAAGTGGGCGAAGAGAAGCGAAGAGGAAGCCGCGGAAGCGGAAGAAGGACGCCGCGCCATCATTGGCCATTGGCCATCCGTTTCGCTCCACTTGGAATAGAGACTTGCGCTCGACCGAGAAATTTAACAAGGCGCACGCTCCCCACTGACAATAGCCAACTTTCTGACTCCCCCTCTTATGCCTGGATTTTAATTACTTCAATTTATATCTTTGGTTTTCCCTGTCATACAGATCCACGGGGAAGAACGATCGCGAGGTGATCGAACCCTAGAGATTCTTCTCGTACTCTTTGAGCACGGGCCGCAATCGAAAAGGGAGAAACAAACAATGAAAAAGAGGAGCGAAGGAAAACAGGGAGGGAAGAAGAATTAATTCGCAAAGCAACAGAGGAAAACCCACGTTACCGGCGGTGATCAGTTCCAGGCACTGCGTACACAATTGTACACGACAATCAGCGTCGTTTTACATCGGCAATTACTGTCCGTAATACTGTTAGGTTGCTGTCAGATCGCATTGGCATTCGCACACTTGGAATACTCCTACTCCTCCCCTCCTCTTCCCCCCCTCCCCCCCCCTCAAAATCTTTTATTCATGCTATCAAGTTTGCATTTAAAAACTCCGCGCTCTCGTCCGTGGCGGCACTTCGAATCGCTACTTTTCAACGGGTTCCTTTCAGCCCTGACTATTCCCGGAAAAGATCGAAATTCAGTTCGCGCGCCGCACGTACGAGCAGACGTTATGCAAATCTACGACGGCGCGACATCGCGGCCACGATTTCATCGCGATTGCGACTTTTAGACACGAATTGGGATAAATCGATCAATTTCGACTCTCATCTCGGGTCGACGTCGCGTCGCGTCGGTTCGATTCGTAGGTGACTGGGACAAGAGTACCGCATCAATATATCGGTACGCAACACTTGCGATTACGAAAGGCCGATGGCGAACGATCAAATCGGATGACCGGTTTTTTTCCTTTTTTTTTTTCTCTTTTTTTTTTTTTTTTTTTTTTTTTT